TTAGGCAATTAACATTTTGAAGTGTAGATGTCACCATTAAAATTGGGTACTTAGGGCATATAATAGCAGTGTCACATTTGTGACAGCATCTAAGAGATGAGACGCTTAAATGCAATGTGAAGGCTATTAATGCAGAAATGTTTTAAAATTGCCATCAGATCTCCTGTAGTCAATATTGGTGCTTCACATAAAAATTGCTTGCACTGATGATAAGGTAACTAGACTGAGCTCAGATCATTGGAAAACAATCAAACATGAATGATCATTGCCAGCTGCTGCCATTTTCAAAGTGGAGACACAAACTTAAGCTGAAACAATTCAAAGAAACTTCAAGGGGGTGACCCGTCCAAGTATTGTACGATTCCTGACACTCGGTCAATGTAAACGATACCTGCTTTCTAGAGGCAATAACGGAGTTAGTTTTAATACATCCAAAGCATCTATCTATATGCAGCACACACAACCTATACTGAAAACCAGAATTATGTATCTAACTTATCCATAATTAAGAATAGCTGCACTCACTACAGACTCCTATAAAATATTGTCAGACTATCTGTACTGAGTGATTGCAGTTGCTGTTAAATTTGCTCATGGTCAAGGGTGCACTGCTGCAAATGATGCCCAAGTGAAGTTCAAATTCATTGCAAAAGTGAAGTATAATTTTGGCTTTATAATACTAAATGGTTATGAATACTGTATACTTTTCTGCCCAGGAAATTTCCATGAGCTCACATGGAACAGGGTGAAAATATACCCAATTCTTTCAGAAAGAAAGGAAACACCTGTTTGGGGACCAATTATGAACCTCATAAAACTATCAGTCGTAATTACTAAATAGCTACAGGATTCTCATTTAAGCAAAATTAACCATACTTGAAAACTAAACTTAGAATGTAAATGATGCAATCATTCATAATTCATTCTGCCACAGTACACAAAAGCAGAGCCTACTCTAGGCTGTTTTCAGATCTTTTGTGCAAATTTATACAGCGAATACTAGATATTAGAAAGCTATTAAGGAGAAGTAGATTTTTTTAAGAGTATTATTTTTTATCCAGTATTTTAAAACCAATCTTAAACGTGAATGCATCTGCTTTTACAGAAAGATTTAGCAGAAAACACAGTGTTATAAGCAGTCTGTCTTTAAGGAGAATGATCTACAATTGCTACTCATCAGAAATATTAGCTGTTCATTAAAAAATCTTGTATTACCATTTGCAACACCTATACTTACTTGTAACTGCTAAGTTAAATCTTAAATCTGGCAGTAGATAATATCTACTGCCCATACATTAGTGGAATCAATGATCCAAGGTAATCCAAGGATAATTTCTCAGGCAAGATAACTGAGGGCAAGACCTCAAGATCTCAAATACAGCTACAGCTCTCCTGGGGAAGAAGAGAAGGCTCTCAATATCTTGATTTGCAGGTCTCAGCCTATTTGCAGGCTAGAATGACCACACAAATTAGTTGTTCAGGCTGAGGCTGAGGTTTGCTGCTGTTACCCTTATCAATGGAAACTCGTTATGACAACTGAATATCAATTCGTTACATGTCATCCTTATGTGAAATTGCTTTTGCACTCAAATAAATACCACCCTATGAATGCATAAATACCACACAGAAAGTTGGTTAGGTAGTACAATACATTCCAAAGCAGCAGTTCTATAGTTTATAGTGTTATTCACTTATCACATGTAAAGTTGAGCTGGAGCTGAGAAGTTTAATGCCTGTGGTATTTCTGTGTACCAGTACTAAATACTGTGTAAGCCACTAGGAATCCTGTGAGTAGCTTGGGAAAGAATTTGCAGTAAAAAATGTCAATCAAATTTAGCCCTTCTTTATGTTTGCAAATTGCTTGAACAGATTGTGAGATCTTCTTATTTGTTTGCCATCAGTTATTCTTTATCAAATATTATGGTGAGGAAAACTGAGCATACTGATTGATCAAGAATTGTTTGCTGATGCTGTAAATATATCTATAAATATAATGTACTCCTGTACGTGTAATAATTTCATATGCCATCTGTGCGATCCGTCACTTCAGAAAATGTTATTAAATTCCCTGTGCTTTAACCTTTTTTCAACACAAAATATTACATTTCTCCAAAATCACTTTTCACAGACGTTCTTAGCAATAAAACTGTTTTTTGTGTGGATTCTACACTCTCTAACCACCTGGAGTCTGTCTGTTTATCTCCCAGTGACAGTGTCCAATGCAGTGTTGATCACATCCATGGTGGGCTGGCAGTCTCAGTGGCCCATATGTATATGCCACTCACAATGATGACTAGATACATACTATCCTGAAAAATTTCTTAGTCATTAAAGCTGATCTAGTACCTTCTGTTTACTCTTGTTTTCTCCTGAGTTTTAGTCTGATAATATCAGGTATTGATCCGTCTTTGTATTCACACTGGTAAATCATATTAAACAGGGCCTTCTTGTCCCTGTATGAGTACATCTTTGGTTGAAGATAGATGGTAAAGGAAGCTCCAGATTGCAGTAAACTATGGATTCTTGTCCCTCTTGTCATATTGAATACCTATATATCCACCCATGCTTTTAATGAAAGTAAGGTTTGGGAAGAGTTGAACTCCCTGGAGGGTGTGCTGAGATTTTTAATTTAACTCTGATTACTTCAATGAACACAATGCGTTTACATTTTCAGGGCAGAAAAAGCAATGCTTAAATGAAACTTAATCTCATATTTTGAAAATCGGCAAACGATTTGAACCCTGTTACTGGACACTTTAATTTTCATTAAAGAATAATGTCATGAAAAAACAGCAAGCCACAGTATTCCTTCATAACTTGAAAATATAGCATTACAGATAATCGAATGTAATTGTCCAGAGGTTCAAGGAAGTGTTTCCACAGACAATAATTTATATAACAAGAAAGAAAACCCTATTGTCCACTTAGAGGGTTAAAGGTGAGGAAGTGGGAATATAAAGTATGCTATGCAATCAAATTCTTGTCATAACTGCATTTGGTTTTGTGTTTTCTGTGCAAAAGCCACATAAAATCATATGTACCAAGACTAGCATTTAAAGAGATCTTCCTGCACGTGTATTAGAAAACATCAAAAACTACCTAAAAGTTCAAGCATTCAGCATGTTTAACTGTTTATGAGTTGTTTATTAATATTTTATTCACTATTGCTTTAAAGAGCAGGAAAAATGCCAATTCGGAGAAAGTAACTGATCTTTGTTCAGTGATTTCACATATAAGCTTCATAAAATTATGAAACATGCTGGTTGCTGTGGTACACATGGTATAGATGGGGAAGTAACCACACGCATTGCATTCTCTTGCATGAAGAATATTCTTCCTTCTGGATTCTTTTGAGTTTGTCCAACTTCTTTCTTCTACAGACTTAATTTCCTATCTTTACTCTTTCTTACTCCCTAGCATTCTGTGCATCCAGCAATTGAATCACTCCCTTTTTGAACGTGGACAACTTTGTAATGCACTTTTAAAATTGTCTGTTGCATTTGCAGCAGTTGAACTGTGACATATTCTGTAAGACTGTGAAAAAATAGTGCTATTTCTGCCAGCAGGAATTGTTTCATGAATGCAAAAGCTCATTACATACAGAGCTCAAATTCAGGCTGTACAGGGTATTTTTACCACCTCATATATAATATACTATACATCATAATCTCTCCCTAATTTTTGTCTTACTCTACAGGATGCATACACTTTTGTGAACCATTGGTAATAATAATAACCAAAACAAATAGTGGCTGTTATTTTGACTGTGAATGGTCTAAAATGTCAGATAAGTCTAAGAGCCTGTGCTGTTTGTGTAGGCTCTGAAACAAATTCTCAGTGAAGGGGGTACAGCTGAAGTTTCTGAAAATTATCAAGTCATTTGTGTGACTGGCACACTAAAATCTGATGGTAGCCTAGGAGATATAAAGTTGGCAGAAAAAAATTCAAAGAGGATGGCATGAAATAGTAAGGACATTTAAATGCATAGACAACTCAGAAGAGAAGAACCTGGGAATGTTACAGATAAATGAATTAGCTAGGAACATCCAAAGGCAAAGCTTTGGCAACATGCATGGATCATCAAATCCAACTAAGGAAGAAATGAACACAGCACAGAACTGAAGAATAAAACTAAGGATTGTGTGAGTGAATCAGTTTGGGAGAAAAATTCTGAAAGTCACATGTAAACAGTAACAAGAGTTACTACTGATGTTCCTGATAGTTTTCTATTAAAAAGACAGTTTGCCCAAAATTGAGAATTTCTGTTTTTTACCTGAAACTTTTAGTGTGTACAAATAGAAGAATCCAAACATTTCTATTTCAAAAAGGGAAAATGTTTCACTGGTGGAAAATATGATCAGGACCAAAACAAAATACAGCATGTGAATGAAAATTCATCATCAGATGAGGATACTGGCAGTGAGTTTTGGGAGAGCTGCTGGGGAAGCCTAATTCTTTTCTATAAATGTGTAAATATATGTGTAAAATACCTAGCACTAAAATTCATGGGTGAGCTGAAGACTGGGAGAGCAGCAACAACGAAGACAGGATTAGAACCACAGAATCACAGAATGGTTCACATAAAAATAGCCTGCAGAACTTCTTTAAAGAAGTGGTTTGAGACGGTCAGATGCAAAGTTACTCATCCTGAGGTGCAGAAAGCTGGCTGAAATACGTACAAGACCTAATCTTTAGAAGACAACAAATGTATATGTCGTTCAGGCCAAAGTGTGCCTTGGAGATAGTCCAAACAGGCTGCAAATGAGCCAGCTCTCACTGTGTATACTAGAACTATGGCCAAAGAGTCCTAAACAGTCTAATTTATCCTGCCAAGAAGTTTGGTAAAAGCTAGCTGGAGTACCTTTGTGAAGCCCTGTGGTTTGTGATACTGATGTACTCATGTATTTGTAGATATGACTAGAAGAGATATATTTTTAATGATGGCTTGGTTGTTTACTAGGCTTTCTTAAAGTTCTGTACTTAGTCTTCTCTTCCTCCAGGCAAGAAGATTGAAATTGATAATTTTCATCTTCAGAAATCTACCCCAGTTTTCTGCTTCTGCCAAGACTTTGTACAAGGCCTAGAATCTGTACCGGCATTGTGGGTAACTATTGTTTTCTCTGTGCATTTATCCCTTTGCTTTGTACATATAAAGTAGTCCACATGCAGACAGAGAAAAGGCTAACTTTTAGCAATGCAGCCTAAAATATAGCTGCTCCTGTTTTCTCTGATCTGTGTGTATGCTTAGAGTAGGACTGTTGGCCTCCAGATACAATGCTAGTATTTGGATTGCTGGATTGCTTGGATGCTACAACCATCCAAGTTCTAATTCAGGGCTTCTGTCATCTAACTTGTCCAGGTGTAAGTGTTGCACCTAACACAGTAGATATCTTTGTTCTGAGATCTTTGCTTCCACTTCTTTCATGGTTTCTATCAGATAATATTAATGTTTGATGTCTTTATTTAGATCACATGAATCAGCTCATGTCTGTGCTCATTTGAGTTTGCAGTAACAACTGTAGAACAAAACATGTTTGTAGGCTCATTTGCCTTTCAAATATCTCTCAGTTCTTACATGTATCAGATTCTTTTTTTTGTATTTGCCTCTTGAGAGATGCTTTTAGTGTCTAGTTCAGCAGTGTAGCTGACTTGTCCACTGTAATGGAGTGTTCTCCTTTAAAAGTTCGAGAATAGAGAATTTTCCAGTGTTCACTATCTTGTGGAATTCTGGCAAGAATCTTTTAAACTACCTTCATGTCTAGTCAGGTTTTATTCTAAAACTGGTCATATATCATCATTTACTATTTGGATTATTATTAAGTGGCACTGTCTTTTAAAACAAGACAGAATAGTTAGTTGCCCTTTTACTGGTATTTTATACCCTGAATATGAAATAAATTTTGGCTTCCACTTTTGTACCCTTTTTTAATCTGAACTATTATCACAATAACAAGCCATTGTGTGTCATTATCTGCTTGGAAACAATTCTGCTATTAATGTCTAGTTGCATTCTGCAATCTGAAACAGTTTCATGTGCATTCACTGAGCGTGATTCTCTAGGACTCTGAGTTTGGTATAATCACAATAATATGTCATGACAACTTTGCCTAAGGGTATATTTAAGGGTATATTATGGTAGTTACAAGTAAATAAAATGTACATTAGGAAAGAATCAGACCTTTCAACTCTCTTTGAAAAACTTTCTTGTATTACATTTTTTACAGATATTCTGTCTTCTGCTTACTTTACATGTTTGGGCCAATGTTTCAACTTTAAGAGCTACACAGTTCACATTTTTTTAATTAAAGATGAAACTTGCAAGCATTATTCTGTAAAAAAATATAAAAATAAAAATCCATTCTATCAAAGCACGTTGAGGTTCACTTATATGTTGCCTAGTCTAAGATGGAATTTTTAAAACGTAAATATTTTCCTACCGTGACAAGGGGTGACATTTGAGACACTGAAATGGCCACTGTCACTAGAAGGTTCAAGATTAGTTATTTCCTGGTGCCAACAAGGAGAAGTAATGAGGGAATAGATATTTAAATTACAGACCTATAATTCTGCCATCCTCACTTAAAAGTATGGGGATACTAAAATTCTCTACTTAGAGATAAGAGTGCCTGTGGTGCACCTGTTTCCTGGTTAAAGTAGAGGAGGTTTGGATTGCTTTGGATTACTATTAAGACAAAATGGGTTCTAAAGCAATGCAAACCCAAGGTCAGCTAATTTCTTCAGGTAAAAGATCACATCAAGCACAACAATCAATTAATTGCAAAGAAGTTTGGGTAGCAGGACAGAGACACAAAGCCTGAACCAGTGTATCTGCAGTAGAGAGAAAGAAAAAATTTGCTTACAGATGAAGAGTCATGGGCAAAACCAAGGACTTCATATTCCACTGCAATAACTATCCAAAAAAAAAGAAAGGGAAAATGAGCAGCATCTACAGTGTTTAAGAATATTGAGAATTCCAGGGACCAAGAGGTATCTGTCATATGACCTGAACTGCTTTGCAGCCTCTTGATTCAAGTGCTGTGCAGGAAAGCAGGCTGCTATATTTGCAATTGAGCTGTTAGATCATAAACCAATTCAACTGCAGCTGAATCAAGGGACCAGCTGCAACATGAGCCCCAGAAATATTGATAATATTACAAATGTTACAGTAGAGAAACGTAGCTGAGAGCTGGTGATATTCAGTATATGTACTCTTGAGTCCTGTAAGCAAAACCAAGCTGTTAATAAGAAATCTGTGAAACAAGCAACAGTATCTCCTGGAGTCTGTAGCAGCTGACAGGAAGGAATACCGTGCTGAGCTACAGTGTAGCATGAAAAAGAGCAATTTGCCCACCAAGTGCCATCAAAGATACTCCAAACTGAACGAGGGAGAACAGCATCCTGATACGATGGGGATCATCCATTTTTCCAGCAGCCCTAACAAAGCGACTGAAGAAGGAACAGGCATAGCTTCAAAGGAAAGGTGTTACATCTTCTGAAACAAGCACAGTGTGGATCTGCCTCCAGCCAGCAGTGACAAAGTTTTTTGGTAAATCAGAGATTGGCGTTGGCTCAGAAACACTTCACAGTGAAGAATAACATTGTTCCTGAACTGCCTCTGAGGGGCTTTTGTCTGCTTTGCTAACATTCAGGATTGTCTATTTTGTGTTAAATTAAACAGGTTCCTGTCATCTGACAAAGTTTTCTTCATCCTGTGGTAGGTACCTCTGAAAACCAGTAACTGTGGGTGCTTCCAGGAAACATTATAGTTTACACTGAGCTTAGTATAAGCCAAATGAGGCATTTTCCAGGTGTTAAAATCAGAGCAGATAATAATTTTATTTTAGAAAATGGAAATGTCAAAGGGAAAGTTATGCAGTGCTATGACATCAAGTTACAGTGACTTCTAAGAAAAGAAAGAACATAAGGCTGAGTGGAGAAAAGCTGGTAAGTTTCCCTGCTTTGGACAGCCAATTTCTACGTCCATCCAAATCCTAAAAAAGGTGCCAATAGCAGTATCACCACAAGAGTTAAAAACACCTTAACACTCTGGGCTCAGATCACTTTTCTTTTTAGCGATTTGCATCCACATTCCTATATGCAGGGTGAGTGTCATCCATGAGGCTGCAAAGCGGCACTCCTCCAGCTTCTCTTGCTGGAGCCCTGGTGAGCTCCATGGGGAAATAAATGCTGATTGAGAAGTATGAGCAGGACTTTAAGTCTCCTGGTTCTCACCTGAGAGAAAGCTGATCTAATTCTTACTCCAGTTAATGTTATTTGTACATATTGAAATAGTATTGGCAGGAAAATAATCTCCTCTTCCCTATTCTTACACCCCCAAATAACTTACAGTTTAGTAGTACAAAAATGAGGATTCAAATTCATTCAAGCAGAGAATGGAACTAGACATGGATCTCCTACATGCTTCAAAATTTACCCAGCCTTTAAGACACTGGAAGAGGAAAGCTTGCTGAAAACTACTGTGGCCCATTTGTGAATCTTATTCTGAAAATACCAAAAAACTATTCAGCAAAGACAAACCAAATCTGTAACTACATGAGGGAACCAAGTGAAACTGCATCTTTGTTGAATTAGTGCATGGAAAAATAATTCACCAAGCGTTTCTCTAGATTTTTGTTTAAAGGGGATTAAGCATAAATTCTAGACAATTTAATCACTGATATTATAAGACAGACACATGCTCATAACTTGAAACAGCAATATATTCTCAAGAAGAAGCAAGAGAGAGGAGTGTGTTCTATTTTCCAGTAATGAATGTTAATTGAGATAATTTATGGGACAGTAAAGGAAGTGCAAAGAGTATAGTGATTGACAGTAAAAGCCCCATCCAGCCCCAGCACCCACAAAAGCACTGCCATGTCAAGCACAGCCCTGCTACTCCTCGCTGGGTCTGGTTCATGACAGCAATGATAAAGACATCAAACGCAATTGCAATATAGTGGCCAACAGTGAGTCTATTCCCAAAACCAAAGGCAGGACAGGGAGCCTTAGTGCTTCAGCTCCTTGTTTGGAGCCACCAAGCAAGATGCCACCTAGAAGAATTAAAGCAGCAACAGCACTGAGGTAAATCCCCACCACAAGTACTAACACAGTGACAGACTGGACCAGCACATGTGTTTTCACAGGAGAGAGTGCTCAACAGCATGAGGGCTTTGAGAAGGTCTGTCCCTCAAGTGGGCTCCAGGCTGTGGGCAACACTCAGCAGAACACAATGGCAGAGGCTGCATTGCTGGATCTGCTGCACAGGCTGCTGGTGGGCAAGGAGGGAGAGAAGGTTTGGGAGGAGAACTCAGTCAGCCCCCCTGCTTATGGCTGGAAGCCAAGCTGCTGATGCAGGAGCTGAGAAACATGGTTATCACTTGACGATTTCCAGTGGCAAAAAAAAAGTATGTACTAGCTCCCTCATCCCGGCACAAGTGTCAGTGTCCTCTGCAGCAAACCCCTTCCTCATTTGTAGAGGAGCCCCTACCTGGAGAAGGTGTGATTTTATTTCAATTGATTGTACTTGAAGACATGTTGCAAAATTATTTCTCTTGTATGTTTCAGCTTCCATCTATTTCCAAAGGGACTGTCTAGATTCTGAACTCGGGTTACGACTACCCAAATCATCAATTTAGTGGCTTTTCTTGTTTGTTTGTGCTTCAGTGAAAATGACAGCAAAACAGAGGTTCAGACTAGACATTATGTTGCAACTCCCCAAATATGAGCTTTTAATAAACAGCAGCAAAACAAAAAAACCAACCCAAACTTAAATTTATCTTTAAGTTTCAAATTTAAAGCCAACTTTTTCTAATGTTGGTTGAGAAAGAGTATTCTGAAAAGGCATCGTTGCAAAATCTGCAAGGACCCCAAACCAGGCGATTTCTGCTCTGTGCCAACTGAGCCTTTTGTCGATGATCTCGGACCCGTGGGAACGAGCCCGGGCTCTGCTCTGACTCTTGCAGGTACAGACGGGAGCAGCGGCGCGCTCGGGAGCCGGGTGAGCTGAAGCAAGCAGCCCCCTACACACACACACACCTAACGGGAAGTTCGCCGGGATGCGGAGCAGCAAAAGTAAATCGGTTTACTTCTCAGAGGGAAATCGCTGCTTGGAGCCTTTCCCCGCAGCCAAGCCCGTTACGGGCTGCTCAGGAGCAGCGTTTGCAAGGCCGGGCGGGAGGCGGATCGGGCGGCTGCGGGCTCCCCCGTTACCGCCGCTGCCCCACAGCCGCGGGCGAGCAACACCGGGACCGCGCTAGCGGGCGGAGCGGGGGACAAAGGCGCGGGGAGGAGGCGAGAGGGGCCGGGCGGGGAGCGGGGATGCGGCACGACAGGCCCGAGCGGGGAGCAGCGCGAGCAGGTGCGCGGGGCCGGGCGGGGCCGCGGGCGGACAATGGTGCGCGCGGGGCAGGGGCGGGCGCAGGTGCGGGGCGGGGCCGCGGGCGGGGTGTGAGGCGGGGCGGGCCCCGCCGCCAGCCGGGCTCCACCGCACCCGCGCCGCGGAGTTGGCTGCGCCGCCAGCCGCGCCCGGAGCCGCTCCCCTGCGGCCTGCGCAGACCCCGTAAGTCCGCCCGTCCTTCGTCCCTCCGTGCGCCGCGGGGCTGGCTCCAGCCGCCCCCTCCCGCGGTGTCATTGCCCGGCGCGCTGCCGGGGCGCCGGGCGGCTCTCGCATCCCGCCCATTGTTCGCGGAGCACCGGGGCTGGGGCGCGGTGGGGCTGAGGTGGGGCGCTCCCGCGGTGCTCTGGCGGCGGTAAGTGTGTGTCCTCGGGCGCCGGGAGCTCGGTGCTGCTCGGCTGCTGTCGCTGCTAATTCCTCTCAGATGTTCCTACTTTTCAATTATTCTCCCCGCTGGAGGCTCAGCCCTTTCTGCTCGGCGCGCTGACGGAATATTTATTTATTTATTTGTTTTAAATAATGGTATCCCCTCCTCGGTTGTCTCGCAGCAGAAATGGGTATGCTGTGAAAGGTCTCTGCAGCATTCATGAGCCCCCTTTGCCACCGGAAGGCATGTGCATTCGGAAGAGGGTAAATCAGGGAGGGAGATGGGGCAAATGTGTGCTGACAGCCTCTAGGTGACACAGGATCTTGCGAGCACTCTTTTCTTCTTACAAGTCTGTGTCCTGGTCACTTTGTTTGCCGCACCTTCCACAGAGGAGTATTTCTTCAGCTGCGGAAGGCAATAACAATTTAAAATCTCCCCGGTAAAACCTGGTAGAGCTGCTGACCCTAAACGGCTGCTGTGCATCGTGTGGTGTTGGGTGTTAATCTCAGCGGACCCAGCACACCTGACTGCCTCGAATGCTTTTTGTTTGATGGTCCTTGATGGACTTGCTAAGTGCATCAGTCTGCTGAGGCTTAGAGTTTGCTAGCTCCCGGGAGCAATACATTCCGTGAACACCCCTGTCTAATGTGGAGTTTGATTTCAAAGGGAAAATCCATGATACAGAACTGGTGTTGTGATTATGAAAAGTGAAATATAATTTCTTTGAAGAAAGAAGAAATCTTGAAGCAATTCATAAAATTAAATACAGGGTTTTTGCAGGAATAGAACATTTGCATTATCCATCATCAATTTACCTATTTAATCTCTCTCTGCTATAGTAGCAGTTTGTTTTCATTTTCTGGTTTTATTGCCCTTTCCATAATGATTTTCTATTCATTGAATTCCTTTTCTTTCCTATCACTGTGAATGCTGAACCCATGACAGCCCCTAATCCAATTCTTAACAACATTTGTAACTACAGTTCAGTTTGTGCTCCTATCTTAAGGAAAAGAAAATAAAAATAGTGTAGGCAGTGTCCTTGCTCCTTCACAACTTTGAATTTACAGGATTCATGCAGTATTGATCCCTTTATTGTTTGTTGGTGTTCTCTTTCAAATGTTAATGAAACTTGGCCTATTTTAGGCAGGTCTTGATTGAGAACGTGAAATAAAAATGCATCGGCTGTCTTTAACGATAATTTTGGCTACTCCCATTGTGTGCTCTCCAATAACAACATGATGCAAGTTGTGTGTACATCTTCTCCCCCCCCCCCCCCCCCCCCCCTTCCCCTTATCCCCCTCTTATATTTTTAGTCTTCATCAAAATGTTTGGTCATCAGCAAGCCCATTTTTTTACATAACTCAAATTTGGTTAAATATGGTGCTAAAATACACATGATTCCTATGGCTTGTTTTTTTTCCTGCCCTCAGAAAATAAAAAAGGAGTTGTGTATATAAGGAAAGGTTTAATAGAGAGTGGAGAACCAGAGATTTCTTTCTTTTGGAAAAGAACCCTTACCAATGTTTATTGAATTTGCTCGTCTGCATGAAGAAAAGAACTCTTGTTTTGTTATCTAGCAGCTGTAGGAAGATTGACAGCTACAAATTGCAAATCTATGAAGGATCTGTCCATGACACAATTTTTAGTTCATTTACATCGTTATCCTGCACATCTTGTCATTTGCAAAATTATATAAACAAGATCAGTAAGTTTGTGGAGAAGACACAAATGCAGTGAATATACTGCAAAGATTTTGAAGCTGTTTGGGATAATTAGCGGTGCATAGTCTTGCCTGAAATATGACATTAATACAGTTAATTTAAATTTGGATATGAACACAATTGTAAACATTATACTGTAGAGAAGAAATACATATTTTGAAACATGCTAGCTCTGTCAGAAGAACATTAAGTGTAATAGTCTTTTTGTTAAGATAAAGAGAGCATCACTGATGTCGTGGTGTGCTTTGCATTTTTAAACAGAATCTAATGAATTACAAACATTCATTACACTACAAGCAATCGCTGAAACTTCTCAGTACCCCAAAAGAGGGAGTTATTTGTATGCTCATACTTGCATGTTTTCCGATTATGGTTTCGCTGTAAAAAACAGAAATAAAACCCCAAGCTATTGTTCTGAAATGAATTCTCTGCAAGTTCCAAATGTTTTTTTGCTCTGCTTCTATCTTGGAAATTTATGTTTAAATATGTCAGTGTGTTCAGGTTATGGAATTTCTTGGGAAGTGTGGGAAAGCTGCAGGAGGTGCTGGGAGCAGCCTTTGTTGGGTCTTGGACATCTTAAGGGCATATAATCTGCTGTGGAAAGTCAGGCTTACTGAGTGGCTGAGAAAGAAAGTAGCTGAAATTTACAAAGGTCAAAAAGAGGGATGTGCTAATTTAAAGGACACCCTGTATAATTATTGCTTATGTTAACATGTCAAGATGTAAAAAAATAAATATTTCTTGGTGTGTGGTTTTATCTAGATTTTTAGTAATTAACTTTCTCAAACATGATATTTGTAACACAGTTACTGTTCTTCTAATGCTGTTTTGTTCTCTGTGCCAGTGGAAATGGGCTGTACGAACAGGCCTATGCCAACTTACAACTCTTGAATGCCTCAGTTCATGACTGGTCTTGGCACTGTGCATTGTGCGCTGTCGCTTTCCAGAAATTGATTTCTTTTAAACATGTGGGTTTCTGGAACTCAGTTTCGTTTTACCTCCTGTCTGTTTCCCATGTGTGCATGGCAGAGTTGGGGGTCATGGTCAGCACACAGGTGACATGGAGCTCATCCCTCCTGTCTATGTTGACCACCAGCACTGTAGGTTGCCTTGGGTCAGTACAGAAAAAGCTGGGTAGTTCTTTGGGGGGAGGTGAGTGGATGAGGAGGCTGACATCCTCTGCTGTTCACCAAGGGTAGGTGCTGAGAGTCTACTACTGAACTCTGCTGCTATTTACAGGTGGTTTTAAGTTATTTTAAATACTGTCTCTTAAGTGTTTATCTTGTGAGTTAATTCCTGCTATGGCACTGTATTTTTAAATTAACTCAAACCCAAATGGGTTCAAAATGCAAGAGACCGGTATTATAAATGGCAATGTTAATAACAGATGACAAAATACAGGGGCTGGAGTATACACACCAGTTTATCTGTTGGTTTCTTGTACTTCCCATACCGTACTACAACAACATTGGTTATCCCTGATGCTCCAGGTGATTGTCCTTGAATGAATTGCGGTGGAACTGATGTGGAAATTGCATCAGAGTGTGCATCTGCAGGAACTCCAGGTCATAAAACAAGTCCTAGGTTTGATCTGAAGTAATCAAGTGTTGTTGATCCTCCAAGGAAGTGCTTAATGCTCATCTCTTTTTTTCCGGGCAAGAAAGCAGTCAGTAAGGATGCCTATTACGTGGGGAGTGAAGTTTTAGTGGAGAAAAGTCTGTGTCTCAAACTAGGTGGTGATATGAATGATTTAATTGTGAACTAATGTAAATGGTGTACAGAAAACCAGACAAATCTTCAAAATGTAATTGCAATTCAAAATAGAAGAAAAGAAAGATGCAGTATTTTCAAAGGCTGGTACCTGGTAATGTTTCATGGCTAGAAACAAATGTTCTAAAAAAGAACTAGGGATTTCTTTTTTTTTTTTTTTCTGGTGGTATAAAACAGCTGTTTTTTTCCGTTGTAAGCTGAAGATCACTTGACTTTATCACGCAATTCAGATGTTTAAGACAAGCTTTCTTTGGCGAGGAAGAGCCATTGTATTTCTTGGTGTATTCTGCTCCCATGGCAGGCCTGCAAACACAGCGTGTGCTTGCAATGGTGTTAGCAAAGGAACTGTTCTTTTAGCTCAAGTAGCAAAGATCTCCACTTGGAAGAAAGGTTTTTTTGAGTCCTTTATACCAGAGTAGGAGGAGTTCCTACCAGTTTTGCAGTAGTATTTTTAAGCAGCTTCAATTATGTATTCTTAACTTTGGTTCACTAATGGGAGCTCACCTTTCAGTCTCTCTGACCTTTTTCAGTGAGGTTAGCTTCCACTGAATCCACCCTGTCTGTTCTGTTAGGTTGTAATTCCCTTTACAAAGTCAACTTTTGCCTTTCTTTATTCTGTCACTTCTGGTTTTGATCATCTTCCCTCAGTTCTCAGAAGTATTTTGTATTCATTAATCCTTACCTTTCCCACTGATATACCACTTCTATCTCCCTTAGTCTATCCAAAGAGCCCAATTCCTTTTACTCCAACTGCTTCGTTTGCTCACTAGCTCGAA